TCGATATTATTTATTAATTTCTACATTTGATTTATTATATCATTAAAATATTGTGTGTAAATTTTAATTTATGTAATTTAATCAATGTTTGATAGTAAGTTAATTAATAAGTTAGTATTTCATAAAAAATTTTTGTCAAAAAATATTAGTTTTTATATAAGGAAAAATATTTTTTGATATTTCTTTGTATTCAAAGAAGATCTTTGTAATATTACATTTTATTATATTTTATTTTTCATATATGTACCAATTTTATATAAAAAAATTTATAAATATATATTCATATATATATAGGTATATATATATATATATATATATATATATATATATATATATATGTATATATATATTTCTCAGTTTTGTAATTTTAAAATATATAAATATGTAATATACAAATTTATATTTATACATTTGTATATTTATTAATCTTAATTTGAAAACGATTCATTTTCAAGTAAATAAATACTTTATAATATATTTATACTTTTACAATATATTTACCAATTGATTTTAATTTTATCAGAAGTCTTTACTTTTTCAGATATTATTTTTTCTATAAGTTTTGACAAATGAAACATTGTTTACATTATAATATGTATAACATTCTTATAAATAATTTATTAAAATTTGTAAAAAATATAATAATATTTATTTAAAAAAATTAAAATAATTCTTATTTGAGAAAGCTTAATAATATCATAAAACTTATATATAACTTATACATTACTTAATTTATATTAATTGTATTATTGAGTGAATGTAAAAGTATTATCATAATACTTTTTTTACAATTCAATTTATTAGGAAAAGAAGGAGATCGAAATGTCTAGATTTCTAGTCTTGAATTGAGAAGAAAAATAAATCAAAATGTTTGCATTTTTAATCTTAAGTTAAAAAAAATAAATCAAAAATTGTCTACATTTCTATTTCTATATAAACAATTGAAATTGTGTTTGTATATTGAATATTATGAAAGGCTACAATGGTTCTTTGTATTAATTTTTCTAATCGTACGTTTTAAATATTTTTATGTGTCATTCAGATGATTTGCAATATTATTTTAAGAAAATAATAAAAAAAAGTATATGTTTATATAAATTTTTTTATATAAAATTTGTACATATATCAAATAAAATATAATAAAATGTAATATTATAAAAATCTTCATTTGAATAAAAAGAAACATCAAAAAATATTTTCCCGTATATAAAAATTGAGATTATTTAACAAAAATTTTTTATAAATTACAAACTTATTAAATAATAACTTATTAATTAATTTATTATCAAATAACGATTATATTTTAAATAACTGTTTGTTAATTTTTACATTTGATTTATTATATTATTAAAATATTATGTGTAAATTTCAATTTACATAATTTAATCGATGTTTAATAATAAATAATTAATAAGTAATTAATTTTTAAAAAATTTTTGATAAAAAATATTAATTTTTATATAAGGTAAAATATTTGTTAATATTTCTTATTCAAAGGTCTTTGTAATATTATAATTTGTTATAATTTATTTAATATATGTACAAATTTTATATAAAAAAATGTATATATATATTTTTTTTCAGTTTTATAATTTTAGAAGATATACATTTGTAGTACAAAAATTTATATTTATATATTTGTATACTTATTAAATTTATATTAAATTTATATTTAAATTTATATTTATATATTTGTATACTTATTAAATTTATATTAAATTTATATATTTGTATACTTATTAAATTTATATTTATATATTTATATACTTATTATATCTTAATTTCGAAATGATTAAAGTATTGCAATAAAATTCAATATTAAATTTTATAGAATAAACAAATTTAATTTTGATTTTATATATCAACAAATGTTTCATTTAAATATGTATAACGTGTGTAAAGCAAATATACATTTATATAATATGTAAATTATATTATATAAAATAAGTACATAAATGCTATATTAAATAAAGAAAAGTATAATTGAAATCATTCACATGTTCTGATACAAATATATTTCAATTATTCAAATTGAAGTAATAGAGCGCTATATACATTTTGATTTACGTCACATTCTTCTCAATGGTTCAAATTAAAAACAAACCAGCTGAGTTTTTGACGTTATTTTTATGTCTTAATATTGAACTTATTTTTCGTTTGGTGTTCTGCAACTTTTTCATTATAATAAATTTCTAACACAATCTCATGTTTTGTACATCTCTATTACATATTATAATTTTATACGACAGTGTATTTATAGTTTTTTTTATTTTTGTGTCTATTGTGCTTACTCAATCATACTAATAGATGTTTCATTATTATTATTATTATTATATTACACAATTATATATACAACGTATATAATCAATATTTTTGTTGCATCATACCAAATCTAAAAGTAATTATAATACTTTTTTCAATTTTATTTATTAAGAAGATATAGAATAAAATCTAGATTTTTATCTCCTATTTATTCTAATGTCTTCTATTTATTGGAATGTACTATATAGTATGAGGAATTTATTAATTTATATAGTTTCTCAATGTTTATTATATACTTGAGTTATTAATTTGTAAAAAATTATATAATATGTTATATGAATAGTTATTACATATAAAAAAATTAAATGATTTTGAGCAGATGCTAATTATATATTATATTTATTTCTTATAAGTAAAAATTATAACTTTTATAACTTTTAAGTAAAAATTTTTTATTTTAGAGATTTAAAGATTAAAAATTTCATTTTTTTTTAAATAAAGCTCTTTAAGTGAACTTACTTTTTTATATAAAATGATTTTGTAATATTTAAACAATTATAAGGATATAAAATAAGTAAAAATTGAATAGTTTAGTTTATTATCTATAGTTTGTATATATCCTATATATAACTATAGATTTTATTTTAAAAATATATAATTGTAAAATTTTAATTTAAAAATTTTTCTCAAATTTTTACGTTATCTTGCAACTGTGTTGGCAATTTGTAGATTTGTTCTTTGCAATGTCTTTGTAATGTTTCATTGCAACTTGCAAAATTGCAATGAAACATTACAGAGACATTCCTACAATGTAATTGTAATAATTTGTATTGTATGCAGGTTCTCTCGTTTTATCAAACATAGAAGTATTTTTAACTCACTCCAAAACGTAAATAGCATCTATGGTAAGGATTCAAACATCTAGTCCGTGGGCCGTACCTTTGACATTCCTGATCTATGGTATGTCTATTATGCCTATGTATATACTACACGATGTGGTAAAAGATAACGATTTCGTTGTATTAATGAGAGCTTGCTATTTCCAGTTTGACTGCGTCGAAAGAATAAGTAAGATTAAGTGTATTAATTATTAAATACACATTTAAGTGTTGATACGCGTTAAGTGCACAAGTATTAATACGCGATTAAGAACACGTTTAAGTGTTACGCAATTGAATATAAGAACACGATTAAAATTCACTTTCAACAGAACTTTGTTGAGGTAAGTTTACCATAATACCACAATATAATAAATTATAAGTTTATAATGTAATAAATTGTTATATTAAATTAATAGACACACACCACATATACATATACTTATTCACATTACTATTATTATGCAGATTATTATGAATGCTTTCTAACAATATATACAATGCTCCGATTTTATAACTTTTATTAACGACGATAACATTATTATTAATATTATTGTATACATATTTTGATGTTAAAATATGTATATAATACATGATAATGATAATGATATTATCGTTAAAAATTATAAAATCGTAGTATAAGTAATATCATAAAATATAGTATATATATATATATATATATATATATATATATATATTTCAGTTTTGTAATTTTAAAAGATATAAATATGTAATATACAAATTTATATTTATATATTTGTATATTTATTAATCTTAATTTGAAAACGATTCATTTTCAAGTGAATAAATACTTTACAATATATTTAATACTTTTACAATATATTTGCCAATTGATTTTAATTTTATCAGAAGTTTTTAATTTTATCAGATATTATTTTTTCTATAAATTTTGATGAATAAAACATTGTTTACATTATAATATGTATAACATTTTTATGAATAATTTATTAAAATTTGTAAAAAATGTAATAATATTTAAAGAAAATTAAAATAATTCTTATTTGAAAGCTTAATAATATCATAAAACTTATATATAACTTATAAATTACTTAATTTATATTAATTGTATTATTGTGTAAATGTAAAAGTATTATCATAACACTTTTTTTACAATTCAATTTATTAAGAAGAAGTAGATCGAAATATTTAGATTTCTAATCTTGAATTGAGAAGAAAAATAAATCAAAATGTTTGCATTTTTAATCTTAAGTTAAAAAAAATAAATCAAAAATTGTCTACATTTCTATTTCTATATAAACAATTAAAATTATGTTTGTATATTGAATATTATGAAAGGCTATAATGGTTCTTTGTATTAATTTTTCTAATTGTACGTTTTAAATACTTTTGTGTCATTCAAATAATTTGCAATTTTATTTTAAGAAGAGAATCTATAATAATTTTGCATATAATTTACATTATGATTTACAAAAGAAAACATTGACATTTAAAACATGACAAATTATTGATATAGAAGAATGAATAGAATATGTAAATTGTATTTTTTATATTTTCATCCCGTAATCAGGAAATAATATTTTTTAAAACATTTTTAAAAATTTTTATAAAATATTTTTGAAACACTATTTTAAAGCATTAAAATTATAAATCTTTTTTAATTCATTAAAAAAAAATAATTATTTTAATATTTTCTTTAAATTATTATTTCAAACAACAGATTCATGTAAAATAATTAATGAAATATATATATATATATCTCATCTTTGTATATTTTGTAGGATAATTATTAATTTTGCATCTTTACAATATTAAATCTAAAAATGTCACAATATAATTTGGATGATTCGGAAGATCATAACTCAAATCATATATTTCAAAACTCTGAAAATCATATTGATAAACTTATTGAAATTGACAATTTAAATGCAATGGAACTATTAACACCAAGTGATGTACTTGAAAGTATACAAATGTATGATTCAACAGTGTAAGTAAAAAGTTTATGAAAATTGAAGAAAAAAAAAGGAATAACAATTATAAATAAAATAGAATAAACAATTATTTTAATTAATTTTCATTATTCTTTTATATTTTTTGTATTATTTGCATTTTTTGCATTATTTTTTGTATTATTTATTGTTTTTAAAATTTTAATAATTAATCTTAATATTAATTAAAAAAAAAAAATATATATATATATATATATACATACACACACACACACATATCCAATGTAACATAAATAATGCAAAAAATACAAAAGAATAATGAAAATTAATTGAAATAATTGTTTATTCTGTTCGGTTTATACATATATATACACACACACACATACACATAACACATGTACTCACAAAGTAAATTATAAATTACGAAGAAACCTGTTGATTTTATTAAAATTTGATTTTATAAAAACTTTTATTAGTATAAAGAATATGCAATAAAAGTAAGGAATTTAATTTAAAAAATTCAAAGTAAGTTTCCCTTGATTTTGAAGACTTAAAATTAAACTAATAAATCAATAATAGATCTTTTTTAACTCTAATTTTATCTGAATATTTTTTATAAATTTATAAACATTTACATTATTTTGATCTGTAGAATATAAAAATGTTTGACAATAAGTAAGACAAAATTTAAGGAATGATTCTACATGATAAAATAAGACAAAAATCAAAAGTAACAAAATTTCTGTAGAGACTTCATTTTTTAATTATAAATATTTAAAAGTTTGTTTAAAAAGTATCCAGAATTTAGCAATTCACTGTACACTTTTGCGTTACATAATATTTTAAGAGCAATATAGCTTATGCTCGCTAAAAATTTTGTAGATTACCATGTTTCAGACACCTTTCACACAAATTTTCAAATACTTATAATTAAAAAAAACGAAGCTTTCATTGAATTTTTGTTATTCTTGATTTTCGTCTTATTTTATCAAGTAGAATCATTTCTTAAACTTTATCCCGCCTGTTGTCGAACATCTTGTATATATATATATGAATATGTGTAAAGTGTGCGCGCCTTCTAATTTATTATTAATTATATTAATTAAATTATATTATTAATTATATTAATTAAATTATATTAGTGAAATTGTTGGCTATGTTGATAACATCGAATCTCCACGTTGCGTGGGCTCGCAACAACAATATAAGTTCTTCAAATTTTATTTAAATAACGGAAAAGGAAAAAGGGTTCAAATTGTTGCCTGGAATGATGACATTGATTTTGTGGAACATCATATAAAAGTAAACACTATAAGTATTATTATTATTTTTAATTTTTAATTTTTATTTATTTATTAACGTTTCCGTGAAATATTTTTTGTTTTTCATGTTCTATAAATATATTCTTTATAAATATAAATAAATAAATAATTAATATATATATATATATATATATATATATAACATTTTCATTTTAGATACTTATTATAAATAAATAAATATATATATATATATATATATGTATATATATATATATATATATATGTATGTATATATATACGAGGGTAGTTCGAAAAGTTCTCGGCCTAATATAGAAATGTCGCTAAGAATATCAAATGGCTATGATTTTTCTCAAGTTTAATCCCTCAGAGGGCGTACCGCACAGTTTCAGACAGATTCGTTCGCTAGTTTGTTTACTGTGCTCGAGTAAAACAGACAAGATTTGATACTTCTCCAAAAATGGATAAAATTGAATATCGCGCAGTCATAAAATATTTCGTTTTAAAAGGATTAACGGCAACAGAAATAAAAAACGAGCTGGATTCCACTTTGGGAGACTCTTCTCCATCATTTTCAACAGTGAAGAAATGGGCTGCTGAATTTAAACGTGGCCGTTCATCCATCTTTGACGATGAACGTTCGGGTCGCCCGAAAACCGCCACGAATGAGGAAATCATTCAAAAAATCCACGATAGCGTGTTAAATGATCGACGAGTAAAAGTGCGTGAGCTTTCTAACATTGCAAACATCTCAATAGATCGTGTTCACAATATCTTACATGAACATTTGCATATGAGAAAGCTCTCAGCGCGATGGGTGCCGCGTTTGTTAACGGTCGATCAGAAACGCATTCGAACGAACATTTCTCAAGAGTGCTTGGACTCCATGAATTGCGTTTCGAATTGTTACCACACGCACCGTACTCGCCAGATTTAGCTCCCAGTGACTTCTTTTTGTTTCCGAATATGAAAAAATGGCTTGCTGGAAAAAAATTCACGTCAAATGCGGAGGTCATCGCTGAGACGGATGCTTATTTTGGAGGCTTAAGCAAATCGTATTATACTGAGGATATAAAAAAATTAGAACATCGTTGGTCTAAATGTATTGAGTTGAAAGGGGACTATGTTGAAAAATAAAAAAGATTTTTGCTGGAAATCATGTGTTTTCTTTGCCAGGCCGAGAACTTTTCGAACTACCCTCGTATATATATATATTTATTTATTTATTTATAATAAGTATCTAAAATGAAAATGTTTACTAAAAAATTCTTATAAATTATTAGAAGAGGAAAAAAATATATATACATATACACTGTATACACATATAATATGCAATTTACGATAAAATGTAAACTTTATAAATTTTTATAAGTATTAATGAATCTTCATATGTGCGTATTCTTTGTGTCAAAAAAAATGTAAAAAAGATAGTCTAGAAGATCATGTATATACGTCGTTATATTTAATCTACTGTCTAAAGAAATATTTAAATCATCATTATTTGATTTTGAATCAAGTCGTTCTATCTTACAATTAATTTAATATATACACACAGTGATATTGCTTTTATCGCTAACAGTATTTTTGTTATTTTATAGACACAATTGGTGTAATATAAAATAAATATTAGAAATAAGAATCAAATATTAAACATTAGGAAAAGAGAGAAAAATAGAAAGATCTATATTTTTTTCTTTTCTTGATATTTAATATTTAACTTTTATTCTCAATACATTGTTTTTATTATACATTACATATTATTATACATTTTTTATTAGATTTTTATTATACATTACATATTATTATTTCACGTTTTTATTATACATTACGTATATTACATATTATTATACATCACATTAGGTTTTAATAATAGTTAATATTTGCTTATAAATCATTCTGTGTTAAACAAATTACTTACAAATAAAAATTCTTTTTAAGTTGAGAATTTATATACAAATGAAATATATATATTATATATATTATATATATTACGTTAGAGATATATACAAATACGTTACAGATATATATAAATAAACATATCTATTCTTTATCGTAAATAGCATTTGTACATGTATATTTCACACAACACACACACACACACATGTGTGTGTGTGTGTGTGTGTGTGTGTGTGTGTATAATATATAATTCATTACATATTTCACATAATATGTATATAATATGTAATTTTTCATTAATAATTTTTGACCCAAAAATCCTATTTTATAATATATATAATACAAAGAATATATTATATAACATAATCTATAATATTAATAATATTATAATACAAAGAATATATTATATAACATAATCTATAACATAACAATATATTATAAAAATTATTATATTAATAATAATATGCATAATAATTACAATAAAATTACATATGTAGTGTTATACTTTTAAACAAATATAATGTGTGTATTTTATCTATCATTCTTTTCATAATCTTTTTCGATTCTTAATTTCGATATTTATATTAATATAATTATACACATTATTATATTATTTTATTAAATATTATTATTTTATTAAAATATAAAATATTTAATTTATAACTTGTAATTTTTTAAAAATTTATGTAAAATATATGTATAATTATATTTTTAATATTAAAATACATTTCATAAAATAGATTATTCATTTGGATGGTACTCAGGCACGTCCGCCAAAAATACCTCAATTCAACAATGGTAATATGCCGTATGAGCTATTAATAAAATCAAATACAATAATTTCAAATCTTGGAAAATTTGAACCAATGGAAATAGTAGATACCACACCTGAGACAATTGAATTATCTGATGTATTAAATGCTACAAAAAATCGCATTAGTGAGTATTCTTTATATAATTTCTTTTTTTTATTAATATAATATTATAATATAAATATAAAAATATATAAATATTTTTCATATAATTTTTTAATCCATATACCTTTTTTTAATTAATACGTTATTAGAATTTGAAATAAATATAGTATAATAAATAAATATTTTTTTTATATCAATCGTTTACATATCAAACATTCAAATTTTAAATTGTTTAAAATTATTTTTTAAACTAATTATTCTACTTATTCTTCCATAAACTTCAATTATTGGTTGTTTTTAAATTTTGAATAATTGAAATCTATTTAAAAAATATAGTTTTAAAAAATTAAATAAATGAAAATGATTGATATTTAGATGATATCAGAAAAAAATTTATTCGTTATAAATGATTCAGATATTAAGTGATCCATGCAAATTTGATTTTAAATTATTAAAAGATTTAAAACATAGATAATATGTTCTATTATTATTTAAGACAATTATGCGAAACATTTGTTAAAATTTTAAAAGAAACGCTCTATAAATGACAACGGTTATATAGTAATAATGGACTGTCTTTTCTCATCACGAACTAATACTTACGTAAATTGGTGAATTTTTCTTAATTAATTTCTCATTAATTGTTGTAAGAATCATAAAATGATAAACAATTCTTCTTTTTTCTGTTTAACTTCTTCTATATACAAGAGAGATAATGTAGTTATTATTGGATACACTGCACATACACATACATATTCATACTTACACACACAATAAAGTTATTTATATTAAAATACTATGAAATAAACTATAATTATGATTATTATAATTATAAAAATTAAATTACAATGTTTTTAATATAAAGATGACTATTATAATTAAGAAATGAGTTATTTTTCAGGACTTATATTTATATAGCTTTTTATCTTTTTTTCCGGTCCCGAATCACTTCTCGAAGTATTGCGGGCAGTTTTTCGGACACTCTATATATAATATAGGCGTATATATATATAAAATCAAAAATTTTATTAAAAAATAATAACAGGATTATTGATAATATAATATAAAATATTATTTATATCTTTTAGAATTTTCTTATATTTATTTAAAATAGAACAATATATTTTATATATAACCCAGACAGCACACAGATATTCATAAAATATTCTACAAATATCCTTGAAGGATATTGAAAATATCCATAAAATGTCCGTTTTATGTTCCTCAAATATACAGTGGATATCCTTAGCATATCCGAATATGAAATTGGAGGACATAATTTAAACCCTGATGTGTCCAAAAGACATCCGATGGACGATTATTGGACATAAATTAGCAATAACAAATATACAAAACGGATTTTATATGGACATAATAAGGAGATGAAAAAGGGATTACATACAAAATTTGAATTTACACATTAAAAAGATAAAATATATATTTTTTTAAGCAATACATTTATTAAAGAAAATTTATATCACATATACATTAATGCAATATCACATATTATTTAAATGTTACTTTTTTTGCACAAAACTATTATAAAACAGATAATTAAAAAAAAATGTATATTATATGTGTGAAAAAAGAACAATCTTTATGATCTAAACATATAATTTTTAAACGAAACATATATATTTCAATCCCTAAATAATAATATAATTTATTTTATATAAAAATTTTACATAAAAATTTTATATAAAAAATTTATTTATAATTTATACTTGCATATTGCACTTTACATCTTAAATAAATAATGAACAATTATTTTCGTTTATTTGCCGGACATTTACTTGTCCGACTTATAAAATCAATTTAATATCCGAAACCCGTGCTTTTAGGTCAGAAATTAAATTGAACAATACATTTTTAATTTTATTTGTTACCTTTTGCAAACTTTATATAATTCTCATAACTAAAACTTAAATACGAGAAAGATAGTGCATCGCACGTCACGTAGCGGTAAACGAACGAACTAATACATGCTTGCGTGCTCGCGAGAAACTTTGACCTCCAAGACCGGACATCTTGTGGACGTCCAAATATTGACTACTAACAGATGTCTTAAATCGGATGTACAATGGACGTTTATTTTATGTCCATGGACGTGCAGACGTAAAATGGACATAAAATGAATGTCCGTAGAATGTCCTGTGCTGTCTGGGAATTATTATTATTTTTGTTAATATATATTCGTCAAATATTTCTAGTATTGAGAGGATACGTAAAGACGAATTTTGCTGAAGTATATAACAACAACATGAACAAAATTATTGGATGTGGTGCAATAACTGATGGCACATTCAAACTGGAAATTCATGTAATAAATTATTTTAGTAACGATGATTATACTTTACTTGATATTAGAAAAGGTGATCATGTAGAAATTATTGGTATCATGCAAACTACAGGTAATAAACTAAACTATTTAATTTTTACTTATTTTATTCTTATAATTGTTTAAATACTATTAAAATTAATTTATATAAAGAATAAAAGCCATTTTAAGATCTTTAATTTAAAAAAATGAAATTTTTAATTTTCAAACCTTTAAAATATAAAATTTTTACTTATAAAAGTTATAAATTTTCACTTATAAAAAATAAATATAATACGTAATTAACTATTCAAAATTTTTAATTTTTAAAAATCGAAAAAAAATAGTAATTATGGAAGGCCCACTACCAGACCGAGCTTAAAAGTTGCAGGATGGAGAGAAGTTTAAAATAGAAAATTTTCAAGAAAATCGAAGGATACACACAATTTTAAAAACACAATTGAAAACTTAAAATTCAAAAATCTCGATTAAAAACACTTTAAATATTTTTTTTGTATTTTTTTCTGTACAGGCCATCTAAAACGAAAATTTTGAAAAAAAAAATTGAATTTCGACCATTATTAAGAAAGTTATGAGCAAAAAGCCAAAAAAAGAGCGGTTTTTTTTAAAATTCGATATTTTTTGAACCAGTGATCAAAAAAATCTCAAAAGTTACCAGGAAGCCTCTTTTGAGGGGTACTAAAAAATACCTAAAAATTAAGAAAATCAAAAACAAAAATTTTTTAAACCGTCCGATTTGGCGTGGAATGCCCCATATATATATATATATATATATATATATATATATATATATATACAATATATATATATAATATTACAAAATTGTAATTACTTATTAAAAATATTTTCATTTAAATAATTTATTAAAAATATTTTCATATATATATATATATATATATATATATATATTTATATTTATGTATATATTTATATTTATATATTTATTTATATTGTTTATATTTATTTATTAATATTTTTATAATTTTTAGTTATTCCATCATATTTAGTTGTCAACAATACAGAAAATATAAAAAAAATCGCAGGGCACATGCCACTCTTAACTTTAATAAATGGAACTAAAAATTTGAAAAGAAAAATAGATGATGTACTTTCAGGTATAATTAATACTAATCAGGTATAATTATTATAATTAATATTAAAACTATTAGTTTTTAATAAAACTTGTTGAAGAGAGTAGTAAAACTCTTAAAGTTTCACTCTAATTTTTTACTTTTACAATTAATAATATTCATCATTTTGATACTTATATATAATTATTATATAATCATATAATTATTATTATATAGTACACATACACACACATACATATACAGGGTGTCCCAAAACTCATAATCAATCTTTCAAAGACAGATTCCTGGGATCATTTGGAGACGATTTGTCCTCAACGAAAATGTCGAAGCACTAATAATTTTCGAATTATAAGTGATTGGAAATAAGGGTTTTTTCGTAAACTAAGCTTTGTAGAAATAAAATATTAATTAAACCACATTCTTCGATTAATTTTAAATAGAGTTTACTTCAATTGAGTTTTAATTTAAAACTTAATTGTAAAGATATATGATGACAAAAAGTGGAAACATGCAAAAAATAATGGCCTTCATATCGACATTTTCATTGAGGAAAAATCGTCTCCAAATCTCAGGAATCTGTCTTTGAAAGATTGATTATGAGTTTTGGGACACTCTGTGTATATATATATATATATATATATATATATATATATGTATAATTAATTTATATATTTTTTTCACAGGATCAGAATAAGAGAAATTCAACTTCCACGTCCAACTCATAATTATTGTTATTTTAACTTGTTTTATATAACTTTTTCGTATATATTATATAAATATATTATTAAATAACTTTCTTTTATATATTATAATAAGTATTATATATTATATAAGGACCACAATCATATGGTCAAATTATATTTCATATTAATAAACTATATTTCTGGCTAGTTTGGTCGACTACACAATTTCAATTATCCTTTGATATATTATATAATAAGTTCTTATTATTATAAGTTTCTAATATATCATATTTTGTTTTATACATCTTATATTATAATTTTATACAAATTATTACATATAAAAAAATTGACTAAGCAAATGTTGATTATGTATTATATTTATTTATATGTGTATTATATTTATTTCTTATAAGCAAATTTATGTAAAATATAAAATTTTCCAATATTAAAATAAACTTTTATATAAAATGTAAAATTTTCTATTATTAAAATTTATATTTGTAAAAAATTTTTATATATTCGCTGAATAAATTATTATTATTATTATTGTTATTTTAACAAAATTGTTTTTTTCACATTTAAAAAACAAAAAATTAAATATAAATTTCTTTATATACATAATTTTTAACAAATTTGTTATTTCGTTGATTACCAAAATAAACTTTTAACGCTTGCCAAGAACGAACTCGCGAAAAAGCAACATAAAGTTGTCCATGATTAAAAACATCTTTGCGAAGATCTAATCCAATTCTATCAAACGTCTGTCCTTGTGATTTATTAATCGTCATGGCAAAAGCTAATTTTATTGGAAATTGTCTTCTAGAAAAAGTAAAAGGAAATACATTTTCGCGTTATACGATTCAAAAAAACAATGTCTCCTGTTTTGTCACCTGTTAAAATCTTACATTTTAATAAATGATCTGTAAGCTCTATAATCATTAATCTAGTGCCATTACACAGACCTTCATTGATACTTAAATTTCTAATTAACATAATAATACTATTTGGTCTTAAACGTAATTCATGAGAAGGAAGAGATGATGGAGATAAACTATTTAAATATTCTGGTAACAATGTTTCACTCATGTCACCATTGTCATTATTTACAGCAGTGTCTACACTTGTATAAATTCGTTCATCATTTATATCTAATAATTCCACAACTTTCTTATTAATTTCATCTACATCAACATTTCTTCCAGAAAGTATGGCACATTTAGACATTTTAACAAACTCTTTTTTTCTTATTAAATCACCATATATATCTTCCACAATATCAGCATTAATAGACGCTATATAACATTCAGGAATTTGTATATTATCATTAAGATCATTTAATATACCATCTCCAACATTCAATAAAAACTTTACAAATTCAATTTCTTCTGGAAGAACTCGCATATTTTGTATTAAAGAGAATTTTACGAAATACTTCCAAAGAGAACTACACTTAATAGAAAGATTTACAATTTCACTTCGAGTAGCATGTACTTTAATAGGCAAAAGTTGTCTAAAATCACCACCTAATAAAACAATTTTTCCACCGAAAGGAATATCATTATTCATAATATCACGCAATGTTCGATCCATTATTTCTAAAGCATATCGTGGTGCCATTGGTGCTTCATCCCAAATGAAAATATCAATTTCTTTTAAATATTGAGCTTCTTTTGATTGGATTTTAATACTTGATGATGAATCAGCAAATAATGGAACTGGTAATCCAAATATCTTATGAACTGTTTTTCCAAAAGGTAATAATGTAGCTGCAATACCCGTAAATGCCATTGTATATACACGTTTATTTCTAATTCTAGCTAAATAATAGATAGTTGTGTATATATATGTTTTACCTGATCCACCTGGACCATCAATATAAAAACAATTATTTGAAGTAATATTATTATTTAATTCATTTAATATAAGATCGACGATCTCTTTCTGCTTATCATTTAATTGCTTATATTGTTTGGTGCCTATTTCCATAGCTTCTTCAAATATCATGCAATTCTCTTCTTCATCATTTTCTGTTAATTGTTTCATTTGTGGAAAATCTACAAAACTTTTACCTTCAGCACGAAGCATACTATTAATTTGTACATATGCTTTATTTTGTCCTTGTAATATACCAAAATGTTGAATATAATCCTCAGACATTGCTACTTTAAAGTTTTCCCACAATTCTTCAGGATGTAATGGTTGACAATGTAATAATATACGTACAAATAGTCTACGAAGTTGTCGTGGCATCATCCATCCAACAGCTTCATTCATAGCTTTTTTCCATTCATCATCATCTTCGATCAAACCTAAAGCTAAACATGCGACTGAAAATGATTGACAAAATTCTCCATTTACAGTTCTTAAATCGTTAAAACTTGTGGCCCCTTTTACTGTGAGTAACAATAATCGTAAATGAAATAATTCTATTTGTGTTGGACTAACGGAATACATTCGTCCTATACAATTATAATGACTTTTACGTTTGACCTAACGTGATACATTTTTACCGTTAACTTTCTGTTTTTTAAATGTATAATAACTTGGAATTTCTAATATACAAATACTGTTTTGCTTCTTCATCGCGTAAGTTTAATGAAAAATAATCTATTAACATAGTAACTTGATCTAAAGCAGAAGTCATTGCATCGTCAATGTTTTCATTTTCAATTATAATATTTTGCTCATTAGGAAGATGGATTGGTAAACGTGTTATAACGTGACTTTTATCTTGTAGTTTTTTACTAAGAATACGCCAGCTAGCTTCAACAGGTCCAACATAACGAGCTTCGATGTAATTATGTATCTCATCATGATCAATAACAACACATTCTGTTACTGGTTCAATAGTTATAGCAGCAACATCATGTCCTTTATAAATATATTTATATAGATATTTAACTGATTTAATACTTGAAACTACTTCAACATTTATATGACTATTAAATATAATTGATAAAGTAGGACAATATGGAACAACATAACGATTATCAACTACATATCCACCAGGACGTTCAAAATTTGTTCCATTATTTCGTCGGCGATAATAAGGATAAGCATCTTCATCCATTTTAGTTTCTTCGAGAAAAGGTTTCGGATAATGTTTTGAACAACGTCCATCTATCAAACACCAATCACCACAAGGTCCATGAATCATATGTTTCATAACTATATCATGTAGAATACGATTATCACATGGATCAGGAATTTCAGCAGAAATATATTTATCAACAATTTGCGGAGTTGTAATTTTATAATTGTATTTTAAAGTAATTAACATATGAACATGTGGCAAACCGCGTTTTTGAAATTCAATAACGTATACAAATGCTGCTACTTCACCAAAAAATTTTTGTTTAACAATTAAATCAATTAAATAATCTTTTTTTATATTAAAAACACGAGCACAAATATCAGGTCTATCCGAAGCTTGTTGACCAGGTAAAAGATTTTCTTCAATTTCACGCCATTTTGGATTACAAGTCATAGTAATGAAAAGATCTGGTTTACCAAATTTACTAATTATTGCCATTGCATCTTGATAATTTTGTAACATATTGCGTGGCGATCCAGTAAATGTGGAAGGAAGTACAACCATTTTCCCAATACGTCCATTTAAATTATTAGCCGTAGTTTGTAAATAATCTCTTAAACCTTGATATGTTTCACTACGTAATTCTTTTTGATGATTTTTACAATAATCAATTCTATCTTTTTCCATTTTTACATAGCTGTCTACAAGCCACTGTTGAAATAAGCGACGTCCTAATAAAAAAACATTAAATTCATCATCACGAATAGCTATACGATATTTAATATACTGTCCTCTAGTTATTCGTCTATCACTATTTAATTTTTTTAAATCACGATGCCATCCTTGAGTACCATATGGATAAAATAATGGATATATCCATGGTTCTACATTTGGATCCATAATACTAACTTTTTGTAAAGTTTTAGTATTTTTATTACGTATTGTAACATATGATTCTGGAATTTCTCCATCAGCTGTTGTAGAGAATACAGCAGCAACTTCATTGATTCTTTGAGTATTATATCGACGTCGATCCATATCTGGTCTTGAAGTAAATACTAATTGTAACTCCGATAATAATTCACCAGATTCCATTTCTAAACGTCGTTGCTTTTCTAATTCTTCACCCATCATTTGATAAGACTGAGCAAATACATTAAATTCCCGCATTATTTGTTCAAGGTTTTGTACAATTTCAAAATCTATGTATGAATTTTGATTAAGACGATGATTTATTGCTTCATTTGAATCTACGATAAAAAGTTGACCATAAGTAGGACTTTCGTTTTGTGCAGCATATAATGCTTTATTAATTTGATAATAAATCTGTCCTTGTATTTTAAAACAATATGGACCAGGTCGTCTATCTTGAAAGTTAATTAAATTAGCGTTAAATGAGGCAAATGAAAATGAACTGTTATAACTACGAATATTTTGAAAAAAATTATTAGATTTTATGTGACTACCATCAAATAAACTCAAGAATGAATTGAGGAAATTCAGGCAATGGTTGCACACATACTGCACCATGATTACAACAATCATGAAATGAATATCCTCTATTAGAAACTTTTTCAGCTGCAAAGTGTTTTGCATTACAATGAATACAATACACATCCATAGGACCAATATAATATTCAATTACATTAGTAAATGATAGTGTACTAATACTTATTTAAACAAGATCGTTTTTTCTGCCGTGATCGATAACGAGTTTGATATTCTACAGATGATTGTAATGTTGCTCTAACACTTAAAGGATTTTCTTCATTTTCCATATCTAATTCTATTACACGATTATCATTTGATGTACCAGCAATACAAATAGTTTGTTGATTTAACTTTTTCAAAGAATTTTCAACTAATTTCTTATTTTCACGACGACGTCGTTGATTCTCCCTTCTTTTTTCTCGATGTTGTTGCAAAAATTCTTTTTTTTCTTCTAAAGTACGTACAATTTTACGTCTCGTCATTTTATAAGAATTTTCTATATTAATATA